GGTCATCTAAGTTGATCGGACGTGCGCAAAACTTTGTGACGTGCGTTTGTCATCATACTTGGGCATCTTGTAGACTGTGCCCTCTCCACATGCATTGTGCGGTGTCTTTCCCCTCCTTCGTGGGTGGAGCAAGTGGACCATGCAGCGCCCTATTGGCTGAAGCCGCAGACAATGCGCCCAGGGTTGGCAACGAGGCGCTATATAAGCCGAAGACTTTCGTGTATTTCAAGTTCTACAGTTCAACAGTTTTCATGTAGAGTTCTTGACTTCTCGTTCTCCTTCTCAGTTGCTAACCATGTAAATAAATTGTTTTTACGAGCGTCTCATCTGACTTGTTCGACGATGGGTCCTAGGGCGGGGCCCCGCTACCAAAATGAGACCCGCGGGACCCGGCACGCACTCAAGTTGGTTTGTTGTTACTGCTCTGTAGCCGATTGTACATTCAGTAAATTCAGGCTGGAGTGCTTGTCCTATTTAAGGCGCAGGCCATTCCCGTTCTTAATCTTTCACTATTCTTAAAAAAACAAAAATTTGACCTGGACGTGATCCGTATACGCACCCTTCTGATCTGGAGTCAGACGCACTACCGTTGCGCCACCTGGTCACGACCGCCATTTCATATTACAAAGTTTCTCTCTTCTGCATAAGAATCTTGATATGCATGCACTCAAGTTGGTTTGTTGTTACTGCACTGCAGCTGATTATACATTCAGTAAATCCAGACTGGAGTACTTTTCCTATCTAGGGCGTAGGTCATTGCCGTCGCGATGCTTTAACTATTCTTTAAAAACAAAAAAATTGACCCAAACGTGATTCGAACGCGCACCCTTCTGATCTGGTGTCAGACGCACTACCGTTGTGCCACCGGGTCTTTTTTATTCAGCGTTAAGTACATCTTGTACACATATTAATACAAACACATTCACAAGAATACAAACAAGAATTTAAAAAGCCAAACACACTTTGCTTGGTGTAATATGATTAAAAGCGTTTAAGCGCCACCAGTTCATTCAATACAGAATGCCACTCTGGTTGCTCATCTCCTGCAGTAGTCATATCTTTTATTTAGGCTATGCTTTCAATGAATTATTCTCTGGCAGAACGAGCAATAACGTCAAGATGACGATATGCCATGCACGCTCTCCAGATAGCTTGCATACTTAACAACATAAACATATCTTATGGTATGCCAGTGTCACTATAAACAAGTAGAAAACGAATTCTAAAAGACGTTAAAGGTTGTCCTTTTTTATAGTTCGTAGCAGAATGTCCAAAAGAAAAGTAGCGTCCAAACAATCTAAAAAAAAGTGATCAATGCTCTCTGGCTTGTGACATAAGAGACAATTAACAGACCATGGAACAAATAAACCTTTTTCCTGGAGCCATGGTTTTACAGGAAGCGTGCTGGTGTGTAGTTGAAAGAAAAATGTTTTTGCTGATGGTCGTACCCCCATCATTTTAACCCTTTTCAGGACGTTTTTTCCAGGAACTTTTCTGTACATCGTATGGAACATCGGCACAGGTAGCATTACGTCGGTAAGGTCCTTGTAGAGTTGTATTTTTGTCACCCCACTTATATACTGCAAAGAAAACCGCACTTCTAGTATATTGAAAGCAGGCACCACTTCGCACAGGTAACCATGAATGCCTATGCGCCCAGCACAACAGCACGATACAACAAATTCGGGTAGATAACAGCATAATCTGATTTTGAAACATAGTACGCGGGAAAGGATGCTCCTGATCACGCAAAAAATAAACTTTGAAACTATTTGCTTGAGAAATAAGTGGGCTTGTCCCAGCCCACCCGCCTTCACAGAGCGGAAAAGATTTGTACAGCTCGAGCGTTCCCTCTTGGCGGCCCAAACAAAAGTACCAAAACTCTGTGTACCTTTTGTATGCTTGAGCGGTTCATGCACAGCACTTGAAGTACATACCAAACTTTGGTCGCTAGAAATATATTGCAGACCATTGACCTCACAAATATCGAGAGGTTCTTCCCTCCAAACTTGTTCACTTTCTCTTTTAAGTTTTCCGTCTCTTCTTTCCAATATTCAGTGGGATCCTTATAACTCTGCAATAGTGCGCCAAGGCACTTTGTCGGCACGGAGCTCTACTTCACCTTTTCAAAGACGTCAGGCATTTTGTCCCAGGTTCCATGCCAAAAACCTGCACTCTTATCCCAATTTAAGGCACTGTCTGACCACTTGCAGTACTTATCTGCTACGCTAACTGCTTTGCTAATGCTTTCCCTGTCCTTAAAAACACAGTGATATTGTCTGCGTACGACAATACTTTGACCTCAGTCGTCATCAACTGAAAACCGCGTATTCTTTCATTGCTACCTATGTTCAAACAAAAGGGCTCCAAATACAAGGCAAATAACAATGGGGAAATTGGACATCCCTGACGAGCACTTCTAGCAATTGGAAAGTTTTCCGTGGCTTCCTTGATGATAACAAGGCTAGCAAAGCGGCTTCTATACGACATTTATACGCCATTTAGTATACCACTTCCAAAATTTACATGTTCCAATTTTGAAAATAGTACTGCATACACATCGTGGTCAAAAGCCTATTCCAGATCTAGTTGACACATCGCTACTTGGCTGTCCCATACATCGCAGCACTCGAGAATGCTCCTCGCGGTGTGGTTATTGATGCTAATTGTTCGACCCTTAATTCCACATCATTTGTGTGGTAACACTAATAACTTTATCACATTTTGTAATCCCTTGGCAAGCACCTTCATAAAATCCTTATAGTCTGTGTTAGTGAGGTTTATAGGGCGATAAGCACTCAGCGACAAGAGCTTTACCGGGTCATCACTCTTCGGGATAAGTACAATATGTGACCTTTGAAAGGACGGCGGCATTTCCTTTACTTCATAAGCCTCTGCAACGAAGCGACAAAGTACCCCCGACAGCTAATCTCTGAATGTTTTTTTAAAGGCTGCACCTAGTCCATGCGGGCCGGGCGTTTTATCTACAGACAATTCGTCAATTGCCTTTTCTATTTCACCAACTGAAATTGGCTGCTTCAGGCGTTCGGTGGTCTCCTTATCTAGTGTACGCATTATTGGCAAGAACTTGCCGTCCAAGGATTTTTCTCTTTTGCCGCTGCTGCCCAGCAATCCTTTAGAATAATTGACAAACGCTTGTTTTATCAATTGTTTGTTCGTGGTGGTCAGCTCCCCATATTTTATGCATTTCATTTCATTGTGGGACGCGTAGCGCTTTTCTTCGCACAGCGAGCGTTTCGTCGGTGTTTCGCCCATCCAGAAGCGCTTTGCTCGTGCGCGTATAACTGCTCCTCTGTATTTTTCTATATGCACTTTTTCGAGCTGGTTTTTTACTTCTCTTACCTCTATAGCTAAGATTCCTGGTCGGATGCTCTCAAGTGACAACAAGAGTTCGAGTTGGTCCTCAAGTTCATTTTCATTTGTCTTTTCCATGTAACGCGCCGTGATTGATCTTTCAATTGCAGCAATTTTAACTTCTTGCTTGAACTCTTCCCATGCAGTGCCCAATCGCCCGACTCAGTCAAGAGTATTTTATCGATAAGCGTTTTAACCCTGTCCACGAAGACTTCATCGCTAAGTAATTTATTGTTCATTTTCCACAACTTCCACGAAAAGATTGGCTTTTTCTTCTTCCCACCTATCGTAAACATTACGGTGGTATGGTCACTGAAGGCTACCGGCTTATGCTTATAACTGTTACATAGCGGCACAAGTGCTTGTGATATGTACGCTCTGTCTAATCTGGCACAGCAATCAGGGCTGGAAATGCGTGTACCTTAAGGCCATTTTTATTTAGCAGAAAATTGCCTACATCTTCCAACTCTCTATCTTGCATAGGCTCTGACAACAACCAGGCACTTTGATAACATATGGTTAGCCTTTTGCTCCTATCTTCTCTGAAACACACACAGTTGGAATCGCCCAGAAGGATCACATTTCTTTCACATTTTAAGTACTCTTCGACACGTGCAAAGTAGGGTAACCGCTCAGTTGCGCTGTTCGGTGCATATACACAAATAATATGCCATTTCGCACCAAACCCTACAAATTCGCACGAGACAAGGCGGCCATCATCAGGTAGTATGAACACACTCTTCAACTAAACCTAAAGAATTGCGCAAGAAGAGGGCGCACCCCCCCCCCCTCCCCGAGGTACCAACAGAGTGACAAATACAAACATTATAGTGGGGCCTAAAAGGTTCTACCGTACAGTCCGCTTGTTCTTGGCTTTCGACCTTCGTTTCCTGTACCGCTACAATATCGAGGTCGTTCTCGAGAAAGAGGCGACTAATCTGATACTGCTTTCGTCGAGACCGTAGGCCACGCACATTTAAGGTAGCCACAAGTAACTCTGTTTCATGCTGTGAAGGCCGTGCGAACAACAGTGCAGGACTGCGTGGTTCTTACCTCGCCGCGTGATAGAACCCTGACTTTCGTAGTTGAATTTGTGGGTATACACGAACAAGTCGTGCCTCCTCCACATGCTTTACATAATGATGAAGCCATCTTTGTCATATTCTTTTTCACCTACTGATGTTGGTCCCTCGTTGAAAGTCTCTCCCCCGTGACTACGAGGGTGGCTTGGGCGGTGGACGCACGCCCACCACGACGTTCGGCTTGAACCCAGAGAGGAGTCGCCTGTGTGCAGGTGTTTTGGCTGCCGGCTCACTTCCAATCACTATCTATTGTCCTGCGTCTCCTTCAGTGCTCCCCTCACGCGAACGCTTTGCACATGCCACCCCACTAGTGACGTCCATGACTTCAGGCTGTTAGGTCGACGTCGCGGTATTGTCGTCCTTCTCGTCGCGCTTTTTGTCTGACAGTACGATGCTAAAATTCCTTGCTCTGTTGTCTTATAAGTCCGGTTTGCACCCCCTGAGCTGCTTCGCATCCATCGTCCTTAGGGCCTTTACGGAGGAGAGTGAACACCGGACCCTCAATCTTGCTGCCTGTGACGTCTTCTGCTTCAACTTCGTCCATTAGATATTCCGCGACTCGATCACCAGCCACAGGCCCAGCCACGCCGGCGTAGGTCTGGACACATTCGCTGTCTTCATGCCCGTAGCGTTTGCACCGGCCGCAGCGAGGTACACGACAGTCCCGGCGTATATGGCCCGTTCGTCAGAACCGTAAGCAAAGTGGCGCCCGTCTGGCACAACCAAAAGCATGTTTACGGCACCCACTCGAAGCTGGTGTGGCAAGTCTTCGATGGTCACGCAATTTTTCAACTGCAGGTTTACTATCCTGGTCGAGGATACTTTGTCAGCAATTGCATGGACGCGCCATCGTTCTATCGTCACATTGGTTACTTTTCCATATTTACTAGCGTGCTGCGCATGTCCTCGTCCGGTACATAAGTAGTAGCCAATAAAGCTTTAGGCGCACGTCCTGTTTGTTTCAGGTCAATGACGATGCAACGCTTGCCCTTCATCTTTACGTCGCCAAGCGCTAACATATTCTTCGTGGCTTGTGTTGTACAGGAAAGTCTCAGCCCTGACGTGATTCATTTGGATTGCGCCTAAGGCAACTACCTCAGGCAGCATACCTAGGTGCACCAAAGCATCGCGCACATCTTCAGCACGATAAGGTCTTGCATTGATATCTCCGTGTAAAAAATAGTATTCTGAACACACGCACCTGTGGGCAATTCCGGCAGCACGACTTTGTAATCCTGTTTCTCATCGGCAGCAATCCTGTTTCCACGGCCCATCTGGGCCGCTGTAACCACCCTTACGGAGCACATGATGCACACGTTCGCACACTGCGGTGGCCGGAAGTGAAATCCGTTGCGCCACCGTGTCACGACCGGCATTTCATGTTAGAAACTTCCTTTCTTCTGCACAAGAATCTTGATATGCACGCACTCAAGTTGGGTTGTCGTTGCTGCAGTACAGCTGATTGTACATTGAGTAAATCCACATTAGAGCACTTGTCCTATTTAGAGCGCAGGCAATTCCCATGCCTATTCTTTCGCTATTCCTAACAAACAAAAACTTCACCTAGACGTGATTCGAACACGCACCCTTCTGATCTGGAGTCAGACGCACTACCGTTGCGCCACCGGGTCACGACCGGCATTTTATGTTAAAAACTTCCTTTCTTCTGCATAAAAATCTTCAAACCACCCACTCCATTTAGTTTGTCGTTAATGCGCTGCAGCTGTTGGTACATTGAGTAAATCCAGATTGGAGCACAAGTCGTATTTGGGTGCAGGCCATCCCCGTGCCTTTTCTTTCACTCTTCTTAAAAAACAAAAATTTGACGCGGACGTGAATCGAACACGCACCCCTCAGGTCTGGAGTCAGACGCACTACCGTTGCACCACCGGGTCACGACCGGCATTTCATGTTAGAAACTTCCTCTCTTCTGCATAGGAATCTTGATATGCACACACTCAAGTTGGTTTGTCGTTACTGCGCTGCAGCTGTTTGTACATTGAGTAAATTCAGATTGGAGCACTTGTCCTATTTAGGGCGCAGGCCATTCCCGTACTTGTTCTTTCAAAAAACAAAAATTTGACCCGAACGTGATTGGGACACGCACCCTTCTGATTCGGAGCCAGACGAACTACCGTTGCGCCACCGGGTCACGACCGGCATTTCATGTTAGAAACTTCCTCTCTTGTTTGCATAACAATCTTCATATGCACGCACTCATGTTGGTTTGTCATTACTGCGCTACAGCTGTTTGTATATTGAGTAAATGCAGATTGGAGCACTTGTCCTAATTAGGGTGCAGGCCATTCCCGTACTTGTTCTTTCAAAAAACAAAAAATTTGACCCGGACGTGATTGGGACACGCACCCTTCTGATTCGGAGTCAGACGAACTACCGTTGCGCCACCGGGTCACGACCGGCATTTCATGTTAGAAACTTCCTCTCTTGTTTGCATAACAATCTTCATATGCACGCACTCATGTTGGTTTGTCATTACTGCGCTACAGCTGTTTGTATATTGAGTAAATCCAGATTGGAGCACTTGTCCTATTTAGGGCGCAGGCCATTCCCGTACTTGTTCTTTCAAAAAACAAAAATTTGACCCGGACGTGATTGGGACCCGCACCCTTCTGATTCGGAGTCAGACGAACTACCGTTGCGCCACCGGGTCAACACCGGCATTTCATGTTAGAAACTTCCTCTCTTGTTTGCATAACAATCTTCATATGCACGCACTCATGTTGGTTTGTCATTACTGCGCTACAGCTGTTTGTATATTGAGTAAACCTAGATTGGAGCACAAGTCCTAATTAGGGCGCAGGCCATTCCCGTACTTGTTCTTTCAAAAAACAAAAATTTGACCGGACGTGATTGGGACACGCACCCTTCTGATTCGGAGTCAGACGAACTACCGTTGCGCCACCGGGTCAACGACCGGCATTTCATGTTAGAAACTTCCTCTCTTGTTTGCATAACAATCTTCATATGCACGCACTCATGTTGGTTTGTCATTACTGCGCTACAGCTGTTTGTATATTGAGTAAATCCAGATTGGAGCACTTGTCCTAATTAGGGCGCAGGCCATTCCCGTACTTGTTCTTTAAAAAAACAAAAATTTGACCCGGACGTGATTGGGACACGCACCCTTCTGATTCGGAGTCAGACGAATACCGTTGCGCCACCGGGTCACGACCGGCATTTCATGTTAGAAACTTCTCTTCTCTTTGCATAACAATCTTATATGCACGCACTCATGTTGGTTTGTCATTACTGCGCTGACAGCTGTTTGTACATTGAGTAAATTCAGATTGGAGCACTTGTCCTAATTAGGGCGCAGGCCATTCCCGTACTTGTTCTTTCAAAAAACAAAAATTTGACCCGGACGTGATTGGGACACGCACCCTTCTGATTCGGAGTCCGACGAACTACCGTTGCGCCACCGGGTCACGACCGGCATTTCATGTTAGAAACTTCCTCTCTTGTTTGCATAACAATCTTCATATGCACGCACTCATGTTGGTTTGTCATTACTGCGCTACAGCTGTTTGTATATTGAGTAAATCCAGATTGGAGCACTTGTCCTAATTAGGGCGCAGGCCATTCCCGTACTTGTTCTTTCAAAAAACAAAAATTTGACCCGGACGTGATTGGGACACGCACCCTTCTGATTCGGAGTCAGACGAACTACCGTTGCGCCACCGGGTCACGACCGGCATTTCATGTTAGAAACTTCCTCTCTTGTTTGCATAACAATCTTCATATGCACGCACTCATGTTGGTTTGTCATTACTGCGCTGCAGCTGTTTGTACATTGAGTAAATTCAGATTGGAGCACTTGTCCTAATTAGGGCGCAGGCCATTCCCGTACTTGTTCTTTCAAAAAACAAAAATTTGACCCGGACGTGATTGGGACACGCACCCTTCTGATTCGGAGTCAGACGAACTACCGTTGCGCCACCGGGTCACGACCGGCATTTCATGTTAGAAACTTCCTCTCTTGTTTGCATAACAATCTTCATATGCACGCACTCATGTTGGTTTGTCATTACTGCGCTACAGCTGTTTGTATATTGAGTAAATCCAGATTGGAGCACTTGTCCTAATTAGGGCGCAGGCCATTCCCGTACTTGTTCTTTCAAAAAACAAAAATTTGACCTGGACGTGAATCGAACATGCACCCCTGAGATCTCGAGGCAGACGCGCTACCGTTGCACCACCTGGTCACGACCAGCATTTCATGTCAGAAAAATCTTTTCTTCTGCATGAAAATCTCGATAACCAGGCACTCAATTTGCTTTGTCGTTACTGCGCTGCAGCTGCTTGTACATCGAGTAAATCCAGATTGGAGCATTTGTCCTATTTAGGGCGCAGGCAATTCCCGTTCTTAATCTTTCACTATTCTTTGAAAGCAAAAATGTGACCCGGACGGGATTGGAACACGCGCCCTTCTGATCTGGATTCAGACACTCTGCCATTGCGCCACCGGGTCACCACCGGCATTTCATGTCAGAAACTTCCTTTCTTCTGCATAGGAATCTTAATATGCACACACTCAAGATTCTTTGTCGTTACTGCGCTGCAGCTGTTTGTACATTGAGTAAATCCAGATTGGGGCACTTGTTCTACTTAAGGCGCAGGCCATTCCCGTTCTTATTCCTTAACTATTCTTAAAAAACAATAATTTGACCCGGACGTGATCCGAACACGCACCCTTCGGATCTGGAGTCAGACGCGCTACCGTTGCGCCACCGGGTCACGACCGGCATTTCATGTTTAGAAACTTCCTCTCTTGTTTGCATAACAATCTTCATATGCACGCACTCATGTTGGTTTGTCATTACTGCGCTACAGCTGTTTGTATATGAGTAAATCCAGATTGGAGCACTTGTCCTAATTAGGGCGCAGGCCATTCCCGTACTTGTTCTTTCAAAAAACAAAAATTTGACCTGGACGTGAATCGAACATGCACCCCTGAGATCTCGAGGCAGACGCGCTACCGTTTGCACCACCTGGTCACGACCAGCATTTCATGTCAGAAAAATCTTTTCTTCTGCATGAAAATCTCGATAACCAGGCACTCAATTTGCTTTGTCGTTACTGCGCTGCAGCTGCTTGTACATCGAGTAAATCCAGATTGGAGCATTTGTCCTATTTAGGGCGCAGGCAATTCCCGTTCTTAATCTTTCACTATTCTTTGAAAGCAAAAATGTGACCCGGACGTGATTCGAACACGCACTTTTCTGATCTGGATTCAGACGCGCTACCATTGCGCCACCGGGTCACCACCGGCATTTCATGTCAGAAACTTCCTTTCTTCTGCATAGGAATCTTAATATGCACACACTCAAGATTCTTTGTCGTTACTGCGCTGCAGCTGTTTGTACATTGAGTAAATCCAGATTGGGGCACTTGTTCTACTTAAGGCGCAGGCCATTCCCGTTCTTATTCCTTAACTATTCTTAAAAAACAATAATTTGACCCGGATGTGATCCGAACACGCACCCTTCGGATCTGGAGTCAGACGTGCTACCGTTGCGCCACCGGGTCACGACCGGCATTGTTAGAAACTTCCTCTCTTCTGCAAACGAATCTTGATATGCACACACTCAAGTTGGTTTGTCGTTACTGCGCTGCAGCTCTTTGTACATTGAGTAAACCCAGATTGGAGCACTCGTCCTATTTAAGGCGCAGGCCAACCCCATGCTCATTCTTTCAATACTACTAAAAAAACAAAAACTTGACCCGGACGTGATTCGAATTCGCACTCTTCTGATCTGAATTAGATGGGCTACCGTTGCGCCACCGGATCACGACCGGTGTTTGATGTTAGAAACTTCCTTTCTTCTGCGTAAGAATCTTGATATGCACACGCTCAAGTTGGTTTGTCGTTACTGCGCTGCCGCTGTTTGTACATTGAGTAAATCTAGATTGAAGCACTCGTTCCATTTGAGGCGCAGGCCAATACCGTGCTCATTGTTTCAGTATTACTAAAAAAACAAAAATTTGACCCGGACTTGATTCGCACACGCACCCTTCTGATCTGGAGTCAGAGGCGCTCACGTTGCGCCACTGGGTCACGACCGGCATTTCATGTTAGAAACTTCCTGTCTTTTTTGCATAAGAATCTTCCTATGCACGCACTCATGTTGGTTTGTCATTACTGCGCTACAGCTGTTTGTATATTGAGTAAATCCAGATTGGAGCACTAGTCCTATTTAGGGCGCAGGCCATTCCCGTGCGTATTCTTTCGCTATTCTTAAAAAAAACAAAAATTTGACCCGGACAAGAATCGAGCATGCGCCCCTCAGATCTCGAGGCAGACGCGCTACCGTTGCGCCACCTGGTCGCGACCGGCATTTCATGTTAGAAAAATTCTTTCTTCTGCATGAAAGTCTCGATAACCACGCACTCAATTTGGTTTGTCGTTATTGCGCTGCAGCTGCTTGTACATCGAGTAAATCCAGATTGGAGAATTTGTCCTATTTAAGGCGCAGGCAATTCCCGTTCTTAATATTTCACTATTCTTTAAAAGCAAAAATGTGACCCAGACGGGATTCGAACACGCACCCTTCTGATCTGGATTCAGACGCGCTACAATTGCGCCACCGAGTCACCACCGGCATTTCATGTTAGAAACCTCCTTTCTTCTCCATAAGAATCTTGATAACCACGCACTCAACTTTGATTAGTGGTGTTTATTGGCGCAAGGGCCAGATATGGCTTAAGAGCGCCAGAGTTATGATAATGAATTTTGGGATGTGCAGTGTAGATAAAACAAATGTGACGTGGCTGTAAATGGGCCTAAAAAACAGTCGCTGTAGGTGTGTAAAAATATACATATGGTAAAATTATGGCAATGACAAATGATGTGAGCTATGGAGACATAAAATGATTTAAAAGTGATAAGTATGTCAAATAAAAACTTGGCATGGAGCACCAGTCCCTCGACAGAGCCCTTAAAATAAGAGCATGGAGGCCTGGGCTCATTGAAATCTGCTATCACAGCAGCATCCTCTGAACAGAGGATGTGCTATGAGCCTGCTGGGCTAAAAACATTCAATGTTGGACTAAACACATTCAGTACTACATCCTTTAAAAAGCTTAAAACTGATTTTGTATTAAAAAGCGGCTCTTCACCGAGAAACATAATCGGATGTAAAGGAAGATTATAGCGGTATGCTAAAGCAAAATATTTCTTTCTCTTCCTTTCAGCTTCCGCACACTCCAGGAGGACGTGGAGGACGGTTAGCCTGTCACCACATCTACCACAAGTAGGAGGTTCATCGCCAGTCAGAAGAAAGTTATGAGTACCATAAGTGTGTCCTATTCTGAGGCGACAGAATAGGACATCAGTTCGCCGTGTTCTTGTAGCGGAGGGCCAGTAACCCAACCGCGGCTTAATCAAATGAAGCTTATTATTTATTTCTGTGTCCCACAAGCGTTGCCAGTGGTTTCGCAGTTTCTTTCGTAGAAAGGGTTTTAGATCTGTTGCAGGGACAGTAGCGGTGGGGTTAATAGCGCGCATTATAATTGACGTGGCCATTTGGTCAGCTAACACATTGCCCTCGATACTTCTATGGCCAGGTACCCAGCAAATAGTAATATGCTGGTTGGACATATACGCTGTACACAGAACGGAATATAGCTCAATTATTATCGGATTTCTGAATCTGAAAAGGGATCTTAATGCATTTGCGACGCTTAACGAGTCTGTGAATATAATTGATTTTTGTATGTTTGATTTCCGTATATGCTTCACAGCGGACAATAGTGCATAACCCTCAGCCGTAAATATACTTGTTTCCGGATGCAGCACGCCGGATTCCGAGAAGTATGGTCCGACGGCTGCATAAGCCACCCCTGCATGCGACTTAGAAGCGTCGGTATAAAACTCTACGCATGATTAGTTGGACTGGAGTTCTCGGAAATGCATTTTAATATGTGCTTTTGGTGCGTGTTTAGTGATCTCCACAAATGAGGTGTCACAGTGTATAAGCTGCCGCTGCCACGGCGGTAAAAGTATCCCTGTGGGCGTAGGACAGAGTTCCAGCAGCGGAACACCCATTTCCTCACAGAAGTTTCTCACACGCAAGGAGAACGGCTTTCTCACTGTGGGTCGATTATGGAAGAGGGTGGCAGCGGTCATATCGTTTATAGTTGAATAAGATGGATGCTTGATGTTTGCACGTACCTTTATAAAATATGTGAAACTGCTATAGGATCGCTGCAGGTGATGTGACCACTGATTCGACTCTACATAGAGGCTCTGGATCGGGCTTGTCCTGAAAGCACCGGTTGCAAGTCGGATACCCAGATGGTGAACGGGGTCTAGGATTTTTAATGCACTTGGCGTTGCGGAATGATAAATTACAGAGGCATAATCAAGGCGCGACCCAACAAGGCTTTTGTATAACTTCAAGAGGCACTTTCGATCACTACCCCATGTTGTACGTGACAAGAGTTTTAGGACGTTCATCGCTTTCAAACATTTCATTTTGACATATTTATTATGGGGAATAAACGTAAGTTTAGAATCTAAAGTGGTTCCCAGGAATTTATGCTCGCTGCTTACAGAGAGTTGGTCTCCCTTGATCGCAACATTTGGTTGTGGCATTACCCCTCGTTTGTTGGAGAAAAGTATGCAACTCCTTTTCTTCGTGTTTATTTTAAAACCGTTTTCATCCGCCCATTTTTAGAGAATTTATTCATTCCAAGCTGCACTTGTCGTTCGCAGACAGACATATTGCATGATTTGAAACTCATCTGCACATCATCAACATACACGGAATAAAACATCGCACTTGGAATGACTGACTGCAGGAAGTTCATTTTTACAATAAAGAGTGTGCAACTAAGCACACCCCCTTGCGGAACACCAGTCTCTTGGGTAAAAGTTCTAGAGAGAGCATTTCCCACTTTTACGCGAAAGTTTCGGTTAGACAGGTAACTTTTAATTGTGTTTAGCATGTTCCCACGGATGCCCATGGTGACAAGATTGCGGAGAATCCCAAATCGCCATGTGGTGTCATACGCCTTCTCTAAGTCTAGGAATACCGAAAGTACAAACTGCCTATGAATAAATGCATCTCTGATGTATGTCTCTATGCGAACAAGGTGGTCTGTTGTCGACCTCCCCTCTCTGAAACCACACTGAAGGGGGTCTAGTATACTGTTACTTTCTAAAAAGTGGATTAAGCGCCGGTTTATCATTTTCTCATATAGTTTGCATAGACAGCTTGTTAGCGCTATTGGCCTGTAGCTGGCGGCCAAAGACGGATCTTTGCCTTGTTTAAGTACTGGGATGACTATAGCTTCTTTCCATGACAATGGAATATACCCAGCTGCCCACATGTTATTGAAGAGAGTTAGGAGTGTTTTTAGTGCTTCGGGGTGAAGGTACTTGACCATTTCGTATGTTATACGATCAACACCTGGCGCTGAGTTGTTGCAGCACGCAATAGATGCCTTAAGTTCAGCTAATGTAAATGGGCAGTTGTAAGACTCACTGGATGGACGTTTACATTTAAGGGGCTGTCGCTCTTCGCGTTCTTTGAATTTCAAGAACGTTTCTGTATAGTTTTATGCACTTGAGACGTATTCAAAGTGTTCGCCTAGGCAGTCCGCCTGCTCCTCCAGGCTCTCCCCTCGGCTATTTACGAAAGGTAGGGGTTGTGTCTCCCGACCCATTAACTTGTTTACCCTATTCCAAACCTTCGTTTCGTCGGAGTAAGAATTTATATCGGAGATGTACCTATTCCAACTTTCTTTCTTTGCAAGACGACGCGTTCTTCTGGCTTGGGACTTAACCTCTTTGAAATTGTTGAGGTTTTCAGCTGTTGGGTAATTTCGGAGTAGTCTCCAAGCTTTATTTTGTCTATTGCGCGCTTTCCGACAATCGTCGTTCCACCATGGAATGCGACGTTTATTGGTCATTCCGTTGGTTTGCTTGATACATTTCACTGCAGCGTCAATAATAAAACCTGTTAGGAATGCTACAGCATCGTCTATATTAAAATCAGCAATCTCATCTCCGTCTAAAAATGTAATTTCTCGAAACAGTTCCCAGTTGGCTGACTTGGTGTTCCAGCGAGGAAAGTCAGGCGAGCATGTATCTTCTTTTGTTAACTTTAACATTATCGGGAAGTGGTCACTCCCAAAGGGGTTCTTGAGAACAGACCACTCCAGATAAGGAATTAGTGTACTCGAGACAATACTCAGGTCTATAGAAGAGTGTGTGTTGTGCGTAGTGCTATAATATGTTGATTCTTTTTTGTTGAGTAA